TAATAATATTAAAATCAATAAATAAAGGTTGAAAATTTTTTTAAGAAAATATGATTGGATTGTTAATAAAAACAGTCGTTATTTTAAAGAGATCATTGTATTTCAAATCATGCCGACATATGTCTTAAATTAGTTTTAAAAAAACAATTGAAATGATAATTGTATTAAATTGTACATTCAATACAGTAATATAAATGAAGAACAAAATTGAATTGCGAATTATTACTGAAAATAAACATCATCTTTAAACATTTTCCCAATTCCTGCATGAAAACTTCTGATGAACTAGAAAAAGCAAGAAACATTATTCACATCAGCGACCACCTATTTATGAGTAATTATTTATTTTAAGGAGAGTCTCGTATTTTGAAATTCGTCTACAGTTGCTTTAAAATAAATAAAATATTGAATTCCAATATTAAGCAATAAATTGCAATATTCAATGCAATGTAATGTAATGTCAATAGTAATGTAAATTAATAGTAATCAGTAATCAAAATAAATTAATAATATGTGAATTTTTACTAAAAGTAGCCACAGTTTTGAAAAATGTTCCATAAACTTATTAAATAATTTCTTAAATACATTAATAAGATACAGACAAATTATCTGCAAAGATAATACCATTGCATAATACATTTGATGCGATGCAATTACACAGTTACATTAGAAAAATAATTCATGAATTTGTATTGAAAATAACTATTATTTTAAAAAGTATGACATATTTTTATTTAAAAAATTTCTGCGCAAGAATAAAAAATAATAATTATGTTGATAGCTTTATTAATGTAATGCAATGGTACAAGTGTGTTATGAAAATAAATTATTGTTTGTTACTGAATATATTTACCTTTTTAAAAAGAATTCCATATTCCTGTAAAATATACCTAAATGTTTCATATTTAGAATTGAACCTTACATTACAAATTACACTATACATTCGATTCAGTAATGAAAATGAGTTATTTTTGCATTTTGCGATGTTAATTGAAACTAAATTATAATTATAATTTGTGAATCGTTATAAAAATTAAAAAGCTTTTTATAATTATTTTGATAAGAAAAATTGAAAACCTTAATTGCTCTAAATAAAATTTTAAAGTGTTATAAAAACAACTTTCATTTTAATGAGAGTTCAAATTTCTTTCAAATACATTAATGCTGAGTACGTGTGTTTTAAAACTTGTATGTTTGCTTGCATTTAAAATGAAATTACAATTGCTTTATATTTCACTTAATTATTACAAATTATAGCATTTGAATCCTTATGATTATTTCTTTTAAAAATAATTAACAAATATTAAATTAATTAAATTTAAATTTTTAAAAAATTAAATAAAGAAAGTATTTTTTAAAATCAGTTTTTTCTTCTTTTAGAAATTTTTATTTTGTTCACAGTTAATTTCCTAAATTTTGATAACTATTTCAATCGCTTTTCAATTGCTCAAATTATCAAATAATAAAGCAAGAAGATAAAAATTACACTAAGTTTCCTTAAATTCTCAGGCATTATTACTCGAAGAAGCTTGGAGCGATTGTTTTCGGAAACTCGCAAACTAATACCGGTAAATGATCTTTTCGGAATTTATGTCGCAATTAGAAAAGAATAACTGTGAACTTTCAACCGCACCTAGAACTTAAGAAAATTAGAACAAATAAATCAAAAAGTTCGAGTTACTCTTGAGAGTCAATGGAGTTCGAGCTGTTTATTGTTCTCAGAGATTTCGAATGAATTCCGCTTTGGCTGATTTTATTGCCCTTTCAACCCTTCTTTTGATCGCCAAGTTTATCTCTGCAACCCTACGTTCCTCTTTCCGCGCTTGCAGTATAAATATACGGCAGTTACAGAACTTGTAGAAATAGTTTTCTTTACTCTTAATTTATTCATTTTCAAGTATCGTTCTCGTCTAAAAAACGGGAAAATGTCAGTTGGTCCTTTGGAAAAAATGCCCCGAGAGGAAACTCTCCGTCTTCGTAAAACTTATGTCGGGTAAATATTTATTTCTTTTATTTATAATTTAATAAAGTTTATTCTATTTTTCTAATTGATATATGTTAATTGCCTTAAGTTTTTAACAAAACTATATGAATTTTGAATGTTCTATTGAATGGATTTTGAATGTTTTATTTTGCATTTGTGTTTATGAAAATGTATTTAGAATTTGTTATTTGAAAGTGTAGAGTTTTGCATGAAATTATATGCATGAGTCTTAAATATAAGTTGTGACATGCATTGTGTGCAGGACTTTTTTGTTTTTTACTAAAAAGTTTTTGAATATTTGAAAGTTAAAATTTTTAATTTCTTACTAGTGCATTAGGTTATTTTATAGAAGCTTAATATGATCTAAATTCGAAATTATCTATTAACTAAAGAAAAATTTGATCAACAAAATTGACAACTGCAGAAACATTTTGTTTCCCTTAACACTGAATTTATAAATATGAATATATTTTTCAAAATAAAAATATCGCTGACTATTTATGAAATAACAAGGCAAGTTTCATAAGTGTACTTAGGATGGAAAAAAATTAATTAAATCATTGTACACATTTCTTTCTGAGTTTCAAAGTTAACATATTATAGTTTCAATTTTCAATGTCTTCATATTTCAATTTTAAGAAGATCTTAGTTAACACGTTTTGTATTATAGTCAATCATATTTTCTCAAACTTTATCAAAACTATGTAAGCAGTTTTTGCATCTGGGCTTCTCAGCTCGATTAATATTTTAAAAACTAAAAAAATATGTGTAAAATAAAATTGAAGTATAGAAATTTTTTCAATTATTTCATATTGTATTAAATTTATTATTAGAATAAATTGTTAAATTCAAGATGCCTAAAATAACGAAAAAAATAACTAGTTTTAAAGCTTAAATTAGAAATTTATACCTGTAGTTATAAATCAGTAAGCTGTGACATGACTTAACATGATTTATCAAAGATAAAAAAATATTTAAAAAAAACTAATTAATAGCTTTGATTGATACATTATAAAATCTTATTTCAAACTATTTAGATTCGAGTTAAAATGTCAACGATGATATAAATACTTAAGGGAAACTGAAATTTTATTGAACTCAATTAGAAATGTTATCAATGAAAGATTATTAATATCTTAACAGGTCAATTTAATTGCTTTTCTTTCAAGGAATAGTTATTTAAATTAAACCAAAATTTAAGTTCATTTTTTAATGATAGTATATTCACATATTTATTTGTATTCAGAGAATTTTTAATTGTTGATGATATTTTATTTTTTAAATTCTATATTAATGGCAATTATATGAATAATGGGCAATAATATAAAATTAAAGTTAGAAATGTTGTATATTTTTTATAGTTTATTAAGATATTGTCAAAAAATTTAGTTGTTAAATGCCGTATAAATAGTTAAAAGATGTAAGTAAAATTTTATATTCATTTGCATACATTTTCTCTAATACTTCTGACGAAATTATCAAAATCCATCAGCTAATTCATATCTATTTTTTTAAGCATTTTTATTAAATTTAATTTATATATTTTGCCAAATTGTTGAAACTAAAAACTGCGTCAAGCATATCATTTTAAATTTTCTGAAGATTAGACATCTTTAAATATGTTTTGGAGAATATTTTTTAATTTTAAACCAATATCTTTGAAATTCAGTAATATTTTTTATTGTTTCCTTTTATCTAAGCGAGCTATAAATATAAAATTGCTTAGTTTTTTAATGCACCAAATAAGATTTCGATTAGAGAACAAATTTTAGAGCTATATGTTATGCAATATACTTAGCTCATACTTCGTTACTTCACTTTTTAACCTTGTCCTTGGAAGTGAGAAAAGAGAAAAATCTCCTTTTTCTCTTTGTTATGTAGTGTTCTAGGAGAAAATTTTTATCATTATTGATGGAGAATACAAAACATTCACCTTTTAATAAGAAAATTGCATTTATTTTTATTCACTTTGGTATAAAACATTGACCTTAATAATAATAAAAAAAAAAGGTTCTATCATTTTTATTTGCTTTGTTGCAAAACATTTACTTTTTAAAGAAATAAAAAGATGCAATTATTTTTTATTTGCGTTAATAAAAAACATTTTTTTAATAAATAACCGCAATCATTTGTTTGATTTGAGGGTGTTATTAATACTAAAAATTAGGAGAGAAGTATTAGCTGTTGCGTTACTTTGAATATTTTATTTAATTCAAAAATTCAATAATTTCTATTAAGATAAATAAAAAAAATTACTTAAAATATCCGCTCATTAAAGGTTACATTATACTTAGATTAAACCTGCTTCACTTCCGCTTTTTAAGTATTGTTTACTTGTTATTGAAGGCAGATTTAATTGACGAAATTAATAGCTAATTACAAAGAATCTTTATTTTTAGAATCTAATTCGTAAATTAATTAATTTATCATTCTTGTTTATTTGCTTAAAAATTTATTTTTGTGCGTAACTTTATTTGACAATATTCTCTTCATCCGTCCTTTGTACAAATTAAATAAAGGAGTTTAACTCTGTGAAGTTTGCTGCAGTTTTATGACACATAAATTATAATTTACTATCTTATTGTTTTTACTTTCTATGCAATTGCGCAGTAAAATTTTTAGAATTTAGTATATTTCATTGAACCATAACAATAAACTTTTTCTGCATTTTTAATGTTTACTATCAAGTCATCAGTAAAATTTTCACAACAAAACTGCATCACAACAAAACCGCTGACACTTCTTTTTAATGTAACTTTTCGATTTTGTCAAAATCAAGGTCACCTTCAAATGAATCGTACCGAATAGCCTTCAATAATTAAAATTCAAACGACGTTTTCAGCTGTCTGGCAGAATTATTACGCGGCATGAATGTTGCGATGACCTTTTCAAAAGCGAAATATTAATTTTAATATTTTAGTATTTTCTCTTACTTAAATTATGAAATCGAACATTCAAATTCAAAAATTTCATTTCTTTTTTTATTACTTTCAGAATATTTGCTATATTAAGAAATTTTTCTTCCTTTGTATGAAATAAATGGCATAATTGCACGAATCAACAATTTATTTCAAAACGTGATCCTCTTTCCTTCGAAAATGGTATATTTATGGAATTTCTCTATTAAAAACGGGCTGTTTTCTCTTGGCTGCTTTCTTTTCCTGCAAAGAATGGCGTCATACAGTAAAGCTACATTTAAATAACTATCTTTATACGATGAAATGATAAGTTAAATAGAAGTTCTAAATAATAATAAGCCGAAAATTGAATGCTTGAAAGAGTTTTGTTTGGTTACATCTGTTTTTACAGTTATTGATGTTCAACTCAATAATTATAATTTTTCATGCCTTATAATTTTGAACCTAATCCAGAGGGCAAGGGAGCTCTTGGATCAAGCATGCTGGCTTTAATAATTAAATCTTTTTTATTCATAATTCGTAGGGGCTTACATAAAGATTTTAAAATATTTGACATTCCAATGTGTCATTTTACTTCATTTCTGAAATGTACATTAAGGGTGGTGATTACGGAATATAAAGAGCCTTTTACGTGTTTCGTATGTTTCATTCTAATCTTTCAGAATTTCAATTTTTTAAGCATGTTAATTTTTTTTAAATTAAAATTAAATATCATCGCAAAAAAATTAAATTAAAAAATTATCGACAAAATCTTGATTTAAGCCACATTAACACCACCCCACGCTTCCGAATTTCGACTTAAAACCTCCTGAAATTAGAAATCGGCTTCTTATACTAACGAGTATTTACAAAAACTATCATAGGGTGACTATATAGTGTCATTTCGTCATTGTTTGTTGTACATTTGTTGATGAAAATTTATTTTTATTTTTTTTATAATTTTAGTCTTACGAACAAACATGTCACAACTTGCTGCATGCTTGTAATCATGTGTGTGCTAGTTATGTTTATTGTCCTAGCTTTTTTAGCCACCGAATGGATGGCTGATCCCTTGTGAAACATTACTAATGCCAAAAAACTTTTTTCAGTCCTTTTTCTAGACTTAAAAGAAGTTGTGAGCTGACCCTGAAGACACCCTCACCTCAATTCTTTCCAGAACAATCGAAGAATCTTCGACACGACCTGAACAGTTTGGAAAAAAAAAAGAATAGCTTTCATCTCCAGAGTTGGAGATGATGGCTATGTTGCATAGCTGTTTTAATGATGCTATGCAGTGAAGACAGATTTACAGACATGAACTTTTGATAGTTATTTACAGCAACACATAGACTTCTTCCTTCCCCTCTTAAATTATTTTCCCATAGACGTCACCCTTCAACTTTAAAAAAAAACTTTGAGGGGGAGGTAATATTTTCTGTTCTATCTTCTTTTATTGTGACTCACCTTAAATTCTTTTTAAAAATGTCTATTAATATTTTTTTCTCTCATAGCTGGCAAAATTGTTTTGAATTTCTGTTTTCTTGAAGCTATTTTTCCTTTCCGAATCTATTTCACTTTTAGCGAAAGCTTCCTTAACCCACTAACGCATTCCATTGAGCAGCGGTTGAGGACCATGTTCATATTTTTATTTGGTATTGCGGTTGAAGTTACTTACATTTCATTGAATATCTAAGTCATAACATAGTTCTTGTATTTTTGTTTCAACTCATCGTGCATTTTGATTAGATTGCCATTTTTTTTTATCGATATGCTGTCTCATTCCTTCGTCGCAAATTTTTTACTGTTTCAAAGATTCTGGTTTGTCATATTTAACTTGTGATTATTAAAATTGTTTGTGATTATTAACATTCATCTTATAACTCATCTAATCTTCTTTCAATCTGTTATTTTTAGAATTTATTACAATTCATACTTCTTAAGTATAGGTATGAATATTCAGTATTTGTTTCCTCTACTGAAGTCTACTTATCTTTTCTTTTTTGGAAAAACTTAACATTTTTTCAATTATGCACGATCTGCGTGGATTTTGAGACCCAACCTTCCTTATAAATATTTAATAACATTTTAGTAGTGTCAATACGAGAAAATCGTTGTTTATATACTGTTATTTGATCTTTTATTTTAAAATATTGCAATGAAGGTGTCAAACTATATTCACTGTATTCATATTCATATAATAATATAAATACAAGGAAATTTCAATCTATAAAATTTATAGTAAATTACATTAAATAATAGAAAAATTTATTCGATTTTTTTTTATAATTAAATGGTTACTCCATGAGTTTAAACAATGGAATTTTTTTTTAAACTGTGCGTTTGACACCTTTTGAAATTTATTGACTAGTATTTTATGCGTAGGTAAGCTGTTAAAATTTCCTAATGTTTTTTTGTATTTTTTTAGGGAGTCTTGCACTCTTTTTTTCGAACAGGATCCTCTAAAAATTGTACGGGGTGAAGGGCAGTACATGTTCGATGAATGCGGCAGACGTTATCTTGATTGTATCAATAATGTTGCTCATGGTAAGATCAGACGCAGCTTTTATTCTTTTTTTACGAGAAATAACTGTTAGTTTTAAAAGAAAATAATTTTTTTATTTTTAAAGCAATTCACTTTTTTAACAAGTACAAGGAATTTTAGTAACAAGGTCTTTTATATTAACATTACTTTTTGAAGAACTATTTTTTTTTATTGAAAATATGACTATTTATTTTTATGAGACTCTCTGCAATTTTTTTTACTAAGAATTGTATTTTAATAGCTTGATTGATTCATTTTCATTTTATCAGAAAATGTTATTTTCCCCCTTTTGAATAATTTTTACTCGTTAAAAATTTTTAATATTAGAATTAATTATTGACAAATAATGGTAATTTTGTATCATAAAATAAAATTTATTGAATTATAAATAAAATTTACATTTAATCTTAACTTTTAGTTGTATTTTTTGATTTTCTAAAAGTCTCAGCGGGCACGAACTTTAGCCCTCACCCATTACTTCAACTTCATATATTCTAACGAAACCCTTCGTTTTTATGTCAAAAAAATATTAATTTTATTTACTTCAATAAAAAAGAAAACACAGTAGAAAATTATTCTTTTTATAAATGTTTTTATTAAATTTAGATACAAAATTTAATATTTAAAATTAAATCGACAAAATTACTTAACTGAAATTTATTCTCAGAATTGAAGTTAAAATCAAACTTTAAGAAGCCCCAAGCTATTTATAAGTATTTAAAAACCAAGTCGCAATGTTTTTCTCTCGTAATTAATTCTACCAACTCTTTCGTCTCTAGCAAAGGGTTGATGACTTTTGCTAAAAATAGAAAGCTTGACCTTAATTCTAAATCCCGTTCGCCAACAACAAAGAAAAACAAGACAATTTAAAAAGTTCTTATAAGTCAATTGTTCAATTGCATTCCTTTAAACTTCATATCTGAAACTGGAACTTTTCTCCTGAATATATCGATTTCGTGAACTGCGGGTGAGAAACGCAGCATTGCGCAATGTGTTCGCGGTCTTGGCTAGATCTCATCCGCATGTGTTAAGTTTGAAACTGAGCCAAATGCAGAGACATTTGGCGAACAGGTAAACAGTCATTTTCATTGAACGGAAAAGCGTGTTGCGTCATCGCCTTGCAAGCTTTGTTGTGTTTACATTTGTGGCCAAATAATAACTTTTCGCAAAGATTTATTTTTGTCACATGATTTTTGTTTCTTTTCTGGGAAATTTCATACAAACTGAAGAAAATTTGTTAAATTACACTGTGAAATCGTAAATAAATAAAATTTAAAAGATGTTGTCAAGAAACTTTAAAACAGGATACACCTTTTTTCCCTGGTGAAATTAAGTTTTTAATTATCTATAACTTCAATTATTAGTGTAGAAAAATTTGCTAGTTTATGTGGTGTTCCAATATTACGTAAGAATCTATGTGGGGAAAAAGTTTGCTATTTTTATATATATAAAAGTTTACTAAAAGTTTTTTATTTTTAATATGATTAATAATTACGTAAAGCACTGGATTTCTTTCAACTATTAAAAAAAAAAGCACTCCGTAAATTGAAAAAATAATTACATTTCATAAATATATTCCAAAAAAAAGAAAATCTTACGGAAACTTAGGAAAGTTTGAGATTCATTATTGCTTTGCATGAAGTGAAAGAGACTTGGGAAGATTCCGCTATCTCTGAATGGCTCCGAGCTCATTATCTAGACGTGCTTCATTATTTTTTTTTATATTTATAATATTGAAAGAAAAAAAAGGAAGCAATTTTAAAGCAAATGATTAGAAAAATGGCACATTAAAATTTTAAACATATTTACTTTTTTGAACAAAGTATGGCTATCAAGACAGTTTTTGCACTGAAAATTATTCCACAATTATATTTTTGAGATAGCAAAGTTTAGTAAATGATGTAACAATCAAACATTTTCTCTTAGTCTTTCTTATCTATAGTTTCATATAAAAAAAAAATGAAGCAAACTTTTCATTAAAACTAGTCTAACAACAGCCTTAAAAATATGAGCGAAATTATTTTATTAAAGGGTTTGCACAAATTTTCTAAATTTTTTTTTGTAGAAATTTCCGTGAGATTAATTAAACTTACATGATCAAAATAAAGCTTTTCCCTACAAGTAATCAAAACTACCTTACAATAAATTAACTATTTCGCATAATTTATACATATTCGTAAAAATTTTTAACCTCCATATTTTATCCAACAAAGAAATAGAAATTTGAAAACTATTCCGATAGGCCACCATTTAAATAATCGTTTTTGTGAAAAATTAAGTTCGTAGACAGTCTTTGGTTACATGGATTAGGCCTTGTTCATGGAATTGTAACATTTGTGCTTATTCCTTTTTCATAAATCTTTGCACAAAAATAGCCCCTTTTTTTGGACTAATTAGTTTTCAATGATTATTGACTGAACATTTGACGTCTAAAAACATCCTTTTTTATTTTTACCGATGGAAAGTCTTCCTCTTATTTAATAATCAAGTTGTGTATTCGGGGAAATTTTTTATAGAAGACATGCCCAGGTGCAAAACGTTTGACCACTTTTAAGCTTTAATTTTTTTTAAGACAATGTGATATTTTAAGATATTTGCATAAGTTTCACCACTTTTAAGCTTCAATTGTTGTTTTTTTTAAAGACAATAATGTAATGCTTTAAGATATTTTTGTATTGTAAATTGTTATTGCAATATAAGTTAGTAAAAATTTATTTTTGTTTTATAATAGTTTTGATTTTTACGTATACATTTCTTTTTTAGTTGGACATAGTAATCCTCGTGTGACAAGGGCTTGTGCAGAGCAGATGAGTCTTCTATGCACCAACAGCCGTTACTTACACGACAACATAGTCATCTATGCTCAAAAACTATTAGCTACATTTCCACCGAAATTGAATGTTTGCTATTTCGTCAATTCTGGGTATTTAGTCTTATTCATACTATTTAAGCTGCTAAATAAACTAAACTACAGAAATAAACTACTAAATACTATTTTCTAAACTCTGTAATTTTTTGAGTTCTACTTCAGATTTTTGGGTTTTTTGTATAGCTGGAAGAATTAAATGAAGCAACTCAGGCTGAGGTTTATTTTCATTGCTATTTATTCAAAACGTTACTATTGTAATTCTGTTTTTACATATCTATGGTCAAAACATGACTTGATACGTATCTCTCATAGATTATGAGCATTTTATGGTAAGAATAATCCCAAAGAACTGAAGTAGCAAGATCTACTTGTCAATATAATAACGCCTATTTAGAACACTCCAAAACACGATGTATTAAAGTCTCCTGAAGTTTTGCAGCTAATGAAGTTTATCAGTTGATTAGTATTTGACATTTCTTTTCTTGAATCCATATGTTGTATAAAGAAAAAATTATCGCATTTAGGCTGAATTAATAGACGACGAAAAGAAGCAACAACGCATACAGCTATTTTATAGCTGTCAGTCAATTAATCAATCTTAATTACAACACGAGATAATTGCGAGACAAATTGACCATTGAAGGAAGTGACGAACGAGACTAAATCAGAGATGAAAAAGAGCAAAGATAAGGTAAAAATTGGCTGTTATAAAGATCTAAAATGAAACAAAAAATTAGAAATATTGGAATAGTCATCAACATTAAAAATGTGGAAAGATTCCGAGAAATCAATGTGTACAAGATGGAATCACAATGAAGGGTGTAAGTTGGAGAAAAGTTGTATTTACAAACAATCAATAAAATCCTGACCAAAAAAAAAAAATTTTTGTAACTATATATTTAATTTCTAAGAAGAAATTTAAAGTTATGTTTAAAGGAAGCTCACATTCGTCGCAGACTTAATAAAAATTCAAACTATTTTTTGTCAAAAATAGGACCACTGGAGAAATTAGTTGATTTGATATGTAGGAAATGATATTCAAATCGCAATTTTTCTGAAACATTTGCAACTTGTTTACTATTTTTCTAGATAGTAGAATAATCAATTATTAAAGTAAGATTTACCGGATTCATTAGGTTATATAATAATTAACACACATTTTTTTAAAAATGTATTCTAATTGTGGGCATATTAACACAACAAAAATATTTTAAAACACTCTGCTCAATTTCTCAATAATTAAGTTTTATTTTTATTTTTGCAGGTCAGAAGCGAATGACTTAGCTTTAAGATTAGCCAGAGCCCATACTGGTCACGAAGACGTCATTGTTTTAGACGGGTGAGTATTATATGACTTGTAAAGGATGAAATGATTCTATTACATAATTCCAATTCTGCCAACAAAAATCGCAGATTCGAGGACTCTTTATCCAAATGCTCAATTTCACTTAAAAAATTGAAAATACAATAATTTTTGTTCATTTTTCATTTATTCTTACAATTTTTATATATTTTTCTCAACTTTTAGAATAAAATAAAATATGAAATGTTTTTTTTTATTTCTATTTTGCAAGTCTATAGTTTAAATTTTAAAATTAAATTTTTTATCTGCGGATTATTTATTTGAATTCTTTATTTTTTTAAACGTTTTATTTATTTAATATTTTGTTCAATGGAGATAAATTTATATTTTTTAATTAAATATTTCATTTTGATACATTGCTTTTGACATTCCTTTTTATTTCTTTTAAGTAGAAACAAAATTAAATGCAAAAAAATAGTTTTTTTTTGAAAAATCACTTTTTAAGCTAATTTTTCGTATTTTTGTTTAGATCAGGGGAATGAATAAAACATGATCTTTGCGCAAATTTTATAACTCTTTGCTGAAAGGTTTTCCCACTAGTAGCATAAAGGACAGTTTAAATATTTGATTTTGTTTAATTCTTATTTAAAATGATTTTTATCACTCTGAGATGTAAACAATGGAAACATTAATGCATTTAGAAAGTGTTTGAGTTGTATAAAAGAAAAAAGAAAATTTAAAAAAAAAAAAAGAACTACTGAGTTCAAAACTTTTTGTAAACTTTAAACCTTTCTGCAGTTATTCGAATTTTGTATGGCTTGTTCACTATGTTTGCCACCAATGGCTATGGTGCCAAACATAGTAAATAGACGAATAGTAAAGTCTTATAAAACCGCCGACAGCTTAGAATGGACTACGACGATTTAGAGCAACACCTAGAAAAGAAAGCCTTACAACTCTCTTCTTTAATAAATAGTTCTGACAACAGCAGATGGTTTCCATATCTAAAACAAGCGTTTGTCAGTTGTGTTATTCGTCAATTATGTTCTTCTTTAGGAGGTGTTGTGTACTATGTATGCTTGAGATTTGTTCTCGAAAACACTATAATTCGACATTTCCGAAAAATGAACAATAATTAGAATGGGCATACAGAAAAAAAAAATCTCAATGTGTCCTGTAATTTCGCCTACAAGTTTTAACTGTACCTACTTTGTAAGCGTTTCAAAATATAGCTTTTTTTTTCACTCATACATCATCTTGTATAAATATGCATGCTGTCAGGATTTTAATGATTTGTAAAAATGCTAATGTTTTAAAATTTTATTTTACATCTGGGAAAGCTTTACCGTAAAGGAAGTTAAAGTTGATAATTGTGGATGTATTTTTATGTTTTGAGGACATTTTGACGGAAGGTTTTAAAAATTTGTGTTTCTTACAGTGCATATCATGGAAATCTATCGACATCTACGGATATGAGTCCGATGAAATTTGAAAAAATTACTGGCGGTAAAAAGGATTATGTGCATGTGGTAAGTTGAAACTTTCGCCTTGATTGATAACCATATTCGTAAGCAATTAATCTCATTTGGTTATCGGAAATACTTGATAGATAAAATTACAAAAATGCTTTATCTTATATTTATTTTTTTTGTTTCTTAGGCTGCTTTACCATGTAGTTATCGTGGAGAATACACATCTGACGAATACGACAGTGACGTCATTGGCGAAAAGTATGCTGAAAATGTGCAAAATGTTATCAACAAAGCACATTCCAAAGGTCGGCAAATTGCAGCATTCTACGCTGAGTCAATGGTCAGTTGTGGGGGTCAAGTTGTACTACCAAAGGGTTATCTTTCAAAAGTATACAAGTGAGTTTCTTCAGTGATGAATATTAGTAATGAAAATATCTAAAATTTCAATAAGTTTAATTTATAATATAGTATAACTCCAATAAGTTGTAATTCATAATAAAATAAATGAATAATATGCAAAGTATTATTAAGAATATTTTCATGAAATTATTTTTTTATAAGCTAGTTTTATTAATTGTAACGAGTTATAAGTTTCCTAACATAAGGAAACAAACTGATAATTTCGTTCTTTTTTTCCGCCTGATTTAGGAAAAAATAAAATATCCATGCCAATATTAATAGTTTCAAGACACATACTAGAAAACTTTTCATAAGTAGTAGTAGAGATGTTATAATAAAAAAAAAAACGTGATGATCAAAGTAATCTAGAAATGATATAAATTTACTAGTTTCTTTTTTTCTCAGTATGTTACTGATTTGAATAAGTTATGTTTATTCAGAGAACGTACGCTTTTGTATCTCACAATCGTAACTTAAACATATTTTGGGTAAAATCCCTAAAATCATGAAGATTGCTTCTTAGTAAAGGCAATTCAACCACGAGGATAAAAGTAGCTTTAAGTGTAATGTTTTTCATTTTAAGTTCCATGCATAAATCTTCATCAAGTCAACGAAATATTGTTCTGCTGGGCTGATTTAGCAGAAAAACAAATCGGCAAATGGCAAATCTTGTCATACTAAGATACAAATTGAAAAGATGCAAACTATTCTAATATGTAAAAAAAAATATTTTCATTTTTTAACTATTTACAAAAGTATTTGTTTTAATGATCCCTCAATTTATTAACATTTTGTCATTAATACATTCAGTCGATGACACTTGTTTTAATTTTTAACTCTTGTTAAATATCCTTGGAACAATATCTAACGACTTTATATAAGATTTATTTCGCTTAAGTTTAAGAAATATATCATAACTTTATGCTACAATTTTTTTTTTTTTTTAATGCAGCTATGTTCGACAAGCTGGTGGTATATGTGTTGCCGATGAAGTTCAAACTGGATTTGGCAGAGTTGGAAAACATATGTGGGCCTTTGAATTACAAGGAGAGGGTAAGCAATTGTAACTTTTTTTAAAAAAATATACATTAAGAGTTAAAACTTAAAGAGAGGTATTCTTTACCTATTCATAGGTATTTTGATAGATTTCTCTAACTTTAACAAATAAAAAATAGGAAGAAACAAGTTTTTTTTATTTGTGTATTATAACTATATTAACTATAATTTATGACGCAGAAATTAGCATAATATTTTCAAATTAAATGCACACAATCTTTTTTAGCTTTTTACGTATAACAATTCAATCTAAACCGATTGCAAGTTTGGCAAGTTAAGTATTTGCATTTATGTATCAAACACAAAAGTTGCTAGCTTTATCTTTTCCAGTCTCATAGCTATGGATGATTTTATTATTTAAAATAAAATATTTTGAAACATGCATAACCTTTTTAAACTTTTATTTTCAGATGTTTGCCCGGATATAGTTACTATTGGCAAACCCATGGGTAACGGGCATCCTGTTTCTGCAGTTATAACTACGAAAGAAATCGCTCGAAGCTTTAAAGATCTCGGAGTATCTTATTTTAACACTGTAAGTTGAAAAAAATATTTGTACTTAACATTCACAGGGGTCTGTCCAGACATTTTGTGAAAGGTCCGTTTTTCGTGAAATTGTGAAAAAATTACTCACATTCTTTCAACCAGGGTCCGCTTTTATGAATTTGTGCAAATAGGGTCCGTTATTGCAAAAAAAAAAAACTTTTTCAAGGAGTTTTTAAATTGTAAAGACATACAAGATTATGCTCAACACTGTAAAATTATAATTAAAAAAATTAAATTTTAAAAAATAAACAACAATTGCTGCTTCTAAATTAGAGATGCAACATACAAATATTTGGTATTTAGCCTATACTGCTGAACGCAGAATATTAATTTCGGACGAATAATGGAAGAATCGTCTGCCGAAGACAAAACTTAATTCGTTTACATCCATCTTTCTTGTTTTCTGCCCTGGAAAGGGTTTATTCGATTAACAAAATAATAATGAAGATAAACAAATTTGTGAAGGGTCCGATTAAAAGAAAAATCATTTTGTGAAGGGTCCGTTTTTAAGTTAAAATATTTTGTAAAGGGTCCGTTTTTATGAAAAGATATTTTGTGAAGGGTCCGTTAACGGACCCAAATTTCTTCTAAACAGACCCCTGATTCATAAATGTTAACTTCAACATGAATATTTTGAATTGTGATGAGTGAGTAATTTATATTGTTTCATATTGAATGTTTCGTAAAATTGCTCATCCATCACAATTGAGTAAATGTGAGAAATTTCTTCATGTATATTGCGCGCAATTTGGTTCTTGCAACTCTAGAAGTGAAGCTATTATGTCGAACCATGTGATTTAAATCAGATTTAATTTGATAACTGTAAGCAGGGTGCGTAGCGTTTTTAAAAAGTGCTAAAAGATGCTTCTTTTTGTTTTTTAAAACCCTATAGAGGTGCTTTTTTCATTGGGTATTTTTAAAAAGTGCTTAATTTTCCCTTTTTCAAAATGAGATTTTTCCTTTACTATGTTGATTTTCGCTTCGAATTACGCAAAAGGTCACAGTTCACATTATTCTATTTAACGTTTTTATGATTAATTCAACCCAAATCTATTTTGGCGTATAGTCAGTCAGTGGCGTATGAAAACGCCATTCGTATTACATGATTCCAAATGTCATGATTTTTGACAATTGTCAAAAACAATGCCAAAAGGTTTGTTTTTTTTGACATGACGGTTAAAAGAAGATAAAACCGTTGATTGTCAAAAACTTTCCTCCCCTGCCTAATTATATTTTTTTTAAGTGCTTAAAAATATTTTTTGAATGCTTAAAAAGTGCTTATTTTTTTTAATAATTTGGTTAATGGTTACGCACCCTGTATAAGGGACGTCACGCATCGATGACATTACTTGCAGGGATACAATTCTGTGAAATCATAACTGTCAAGAATCAGTAAATAGTTATTAAACAATCTACGTTTATGCAACTCTAGTTGCACGAAACTCTGTATTCTAATAATATGAAATTGTAAAACAATAGAACAAATTAATGACTTGAATAAATAAATACCATAATGAACTAATGACATAAATTTATAAAATGCAATAAACTTTTTATATGACTGAACACGAACTAACACGAAATGGTTAAGGTTTTTTCATAATGTTTAACAGTTTATAAGGTGACTATGAGTCATATCATTGGCAAACAAATTTCTATAAACCATTAACAGAATTTTGAAATTTTAGAAACTATATTAGTTAAAGCTTATATAAATCAAAAAACTCACTATTTTGCCAATTTTTTTTCTGTACGTATCATAACAGTTTTAAAAGTTTTTCTCTCTTTCACAGTATGGTGGAAACCCGGTGTCCATGGCAATAGCTAACTCAGTTTTGGATATAATCGAGGATGAAGATTTGCTTTCAAAAGCTGAAAAAACTGGAAATAAACTTTTAGATGACCTTCACGAACTTAAGAAACGGCATTCAATTATTGGCGATATTAGGTAAATAAAATTTCGCTAATTTTTTTTTAAATATAAAAGGAAATTTGAATGTTTTTTTGTGTGTTTTTATCTAATAACGGATTAATTTTTTTTCAATTTATTTTTTAGGGGAGCTGGTTTGTTTGTTGGAATAGATTTAGTAAAAGACCGCATTACGAAAGCTCCAGCAACAGAAGAAGCAGCTTATACAATTGCAAGGTACAGTAATTTCTAAAAGCAATTTTCTAAATTAAATGCCTCTGTTCTTCCTCCTCAACGTAACTTAGTATTAATCACGCCTACTTGAGAAAAATCGTTCTTTGAACTGATGAACCTTCATTTCTCCTGCATGTAATAAAATCTGCCTTTTTTTTTTCTGTTTTCAGCAAAATTTCACAGCTTTTATTCATTCTGCCGGCGCAATTAAATTCAGCTATTTTATTTATTTAAATGCGAAACAAAAGAATTAAAATAAAAGTTGAATTTACTGTTTTTTTTTATTGGCGGCTTTATCCCCTGCACCAACGAAATCGATAAATCCTAAATGTACCTATTTTATTTTATATCTGGCGTTAAACAGTCGACCCAATTTAGAGTGTAATTTTGAACTCAACCCTTTAGACAATTGAACTTTTTAATTACGCGTAAGGACAAACTAACCTTCGTGGAGGACTTTTTGATGCAACTAACGAAAATCTCCAACGGTTAGCCTGATGATAAAAGGATTCTAACCCTCTATCACGGAGTATGTTTTACCTAAACACTGTAACCGGGATCAGGATTCCTATCGAAAAGCCATCGATAGAAATCGAACAGGACCTCATTAGGCGGCGAGTGCTCTATCCCCTAAGCCACCACTGTTCAAATGCACATATTTTATAAACGTCGTTAGACAGCCGATTCTATTTCGAGTTTACGACTATCAATGTTCAACTCTGTAGTTTTGTAATTTTGAACACAATCTGAAAGACAAGGGGAACACCTGGATTAAATATTAGGAAACAATTGCTTTTGTAGAGGACTTTTTTGATAATCGCGTTACATGGAGAGGTAAACCACCCTCGATTCATCTGCCAGCAAGGGGACTCTAACCCATGATCTGTCTATCATTGAGTATGTTTTATGTCGGCACTGTGGTCTGTGTGGAATTCGTATCGTTCCTCCAAAGCCGGGATTCGATCCAGGGCTTACCTCATAGTGAGGCAAAATGTGCAAATATGAATATCTAATCACATTATCGTTATTGAATACCACTCGCTAAGATTTAAAGCATTACTAATTTTCAGTTTAAAATATGTATCAAGGTGCGAATGTCCTTCTCCTCCAGTTAAATAGTTTTATTTATTTATTTTTTTGTCCAAGTTTTTTTTTTCTTCTTTCTAATAGCTCATTCTAAGCGGGAAAGATGAAACAAGAAAACAAATTTGTGCATTTCTTTTATTCAGGGATGTGATTCTTCCGCGGATTTCCGCTTTTTTTTTTCAGATCTTTCCATTTTTTCCGCTAATTTTCGCTGAAATTTTTTTTTGCACAAGTTAAAATATTTTATGAGGAATTAAATTTTCCGCGAAGTGAAAGTATTGAAGTCCTCATTCCTCCCTCAAGCATTGATTTTCGTATTTACCTGATTTAAAAGTTGAACGTTTGCGATTCTTAATCAGGCGANACAAGTTAAAATATTTTATGAGGAATTAAATTTTCCGCGAAGTGAAAGTATTGAAGTCCTCATTCCTCCCTCAAGCATTGATTTTCGTATTTACCTGATTTAAAAGTTGAACGTTGCGATTCTTAATCAGGCGATTCAAATGTCGTATATTGCGATTCTTATTTACGAGATTTAAAAATCCAATATCGCGATTTGTAACTACGCACTCTTAAAACCCTATGTAGCGATTCGTATTCACGCGAGCTAAAAATACAATGTCGTGATTCGTTTTTGCGGTTGTAATATCAAACATCGATTTTCCTATTTATACGTGCTTTAAAAATTAGACAGTGGGATTCGTATTCGCGCTATTTAAAAATTATGCATCGTGATTCGTTTTTACGTAATCTAAAAATTACGCATCATGATTTGTATTTTCGCATTTTTTAAATTCGATATAGAGTTTCATATTCACGTGATTTAAAAGCCTCATTTCGGGATTCATATTCTCTTAATTTAAAATCATGCATGTGATTCATATTCTTTTAATTTAAAATCATGCATGTGATTCATATTTATATATTCATGCAATTTTAAAATTAATCATCGGGATTTATAATCACATGGTTTACAAGTTTTCTTCATTTTTTATCACTCTGCAAAAATGCCAATGTAAGTAAAGGATGAAATATAGAAACTACAGCTAGTTTTATGCATTTTTAAAAATTTATTCATAATTTTCATTTTAGTTTTTAGTAACCATTGCTTTGTTCTCCATATTGAGTTCTTAATTCAAATTTTAAATATTTCAACTTCTAGAATGAAACAGGAGCGAATACTTCTCAGCGCTGAAGGCAAATATAGTAATGTCCTGAAATTCAAACCACCTATGGTTTTTAACGAAGAAAATGTCAAGACGTTAGTAGATAAATTGGATGAAGTTCTTACTGAAGTCGAAGAAAAAACTGATAGTTACGAGTCAACATCTGAACCTTCATCTGACACTTCATCTAGCTCGGATGACGACATGGCTTCTGCGTCTTCTAGCTGAGCCATCTGAATTCTGATCATGAATCTGTATATAGTTTTCAATCCAGAACTGTTAAAACAATTTATTTCTATTAACACTTTGAATAAGTAAATTTTTTTTTAAATTGTTAAAAATAAGTTGAATACTATTATTTTTAAAGATAAATGTTAAAAGTTTTTTTTTCAATTGAGGCTTCCTTTTAAAACGATAATGGGAAAAATTTATATTTTCAATATTAGTTTGAAGTTTCTTAGAGGGAAACTTATATTTTTATAATCATTATTTTTCAAGCAGCTATCTTCAAACTTTTTTCTTTAAATATTTTAAATTTATACCGGGTGCTACGTATTCACCGCAATTAATGTACATTTTTAGAGTTCTTGTTATCTAGACAAAAAGAGTACACACATTAGTGGTCAGAAGTTGATAATAAAAAGAGAAAATAACTTAATAGAAGTTTAAAAAGTCGACTCTGAGAATGGGCAGTACTAAAAACACAAAAACCTGTTTGCTTGCTTAGGAAATCGAAAATAATTAAAATGTGATTATTATAGGAACCTCGAAGTTCCATCAGGCAAAGAAATTGGTTTTGATGTTTGTCCTCGCACATTTTACGCTTAAATAATATTTTTAAGACCCCTAATGTTTATATTTTTAATTTCATTTTTGAAACAAGCTTAAAGTGATATCTTTAAACACCCTGTAAGAAACTAATCATGATAGCATAACATTATATGCTGCTAGATTTTCAACTTTGCTAACACTCGAATAACATGTAGTTCAAATATATTTCTAATGATGTTATGACGCATTTTGTTTTAATAAGAGCTTAATAGTGATATCTTTCTTAAAAATAAGTTAGAATGCTGAGCATATCGAATATGATTTTTATTAAGGATTACATATATTAAATGTTATTTAGCTGTTAGCGCACAAAGAAAATCTAATTTTCTCTTTTGAAAATTCAAATATGCTTATTAAGACACAATTTGAGAAATTATTCATATTGTATTCTTTTAAAAATAGCCCTTATGATGTAGTATTTATTTAGTTACATAGATTAAGGAGGAAATCAATATTTTTCTATAAATATCTTTATTAGTAAGAATGAGCAACGAATTAGTTAATCCTCGCCAATATCACACATAACTTTTATGTGATGCAATATTAATTTCAATATAACAACAACGAATATTTGAAATAATACGTTATTCATCATGTAAATATTCATATCAATTCATTGTAGTTATGTAACATGAAGATGAACAAATATGTATGTTTTGTACAGTTTTCATTTTGTTAAATAAATATTTTTGTCTTTATGTTTCAATTGATTCTTGTGAGCAACTCTAAACTTTTTCTCTGCATTTTTAATTAATGCATAAATTTTTATAACATCAAATACTTATATAGTGGATTCTCTCTTGATACATTCTTCGTTCAAAAAGCATACTTGATTCGATTCAAAAGCATACTTGACTATAGATGGTGTATTCTACACTAGGGAGCGCTGCAGGTTCTTTACCTCCTGTATTTTCAGGATACTGTATCTGGTGTATTTCGAGGTCATTTGGCTAAATGTGTTCACTATGGTAACAATGAATACTGAAAATCTAGAAAAAATAGACCAGATAGTTCAAGTTACATAGAAATAAACATAAATGGTGAAAAGATGGTAAACATGCGGTTAAAGAAGTAAGAAAATTAATATTAGAATTAAAATCTTAATAAAACATTTAAATTACCTTGTCAACAGCATACTTAATTCGAAATTTAAATGTAAAATATAGAAAATAGACTTTGTCTCGCTACTCTAAATATATTGTAACACAAACGTCTATGCGGCGCATTGCTTAGAATAGATAGTATTTAGTAGAAAACACGCAAGTTCCAGTATATATATATATACTGGAACTTGCAATTCAAATATGCTTATTAAGACACAATTTGAGAAATTATTCATATTATAGTAAATGTATATATTAACTCGTTGAATGCCATGGGGGTCACCGGTGACCGGCGAAGCCAAGATTATTCAAAACACATAATTCGAGTAAATTTTCAATTTCTTTTTATATTATCGTTACTAAAATGGTTTGAAGAAATTAATGCAGTATAGAACACAGAAAAATAGTTTTATTCATATACTAACTACAGAGATGCCACCTTGCTCCGGACAGCGAATAAATATTTTCAAATGGTAGTTTATTAATTGTGATTCTTGGTTTAATAAATTCAATTTAGTTGATTTTTATCCACCACTATTTCTAAACAAGTAGTCATCATCAGCATTGGCACGACAGCCCTTTGTGAGCCTGGGCCTTCCTCAGAAGCTTTTCCCATTCTGTCCTTCTCCCAGCAATTGTTTTCCAGTTCTTTACTTTTAGGATGGCAAAATCCTCATCTACACAGTCCTTCCATCTCTTTTTGGGCCTTCCTCTTGGCCTTTTATTGGAGGGGGTTGCATTAGAGACTCTCAATGCTGTTCGTTCTGGGCTCATTCTCACTACATGCCCGGCCCATCTCATTCTNATTAATTATTTTTTATTATTATCGTTACTAAAATGGTTTGAAGAAATTAATGCAGTATAGAACACAGAAAAATAGTTTTATTCATACACTAACTACAGAGATGCCACCTTGCTCCGGACAGCGAATAAATATTTTCAAGTGGTAGTTTATTAATTGTGATTCTCGGTTTAATAAATTCAATTTAGTTGATTTTTATCCACCACTATTTCTAAACAATTAGTAGTCTTGTATAATTCACCACTTTTTCAGATATGTCATGCAAAACCTTTTAAAAACTAGCAAAATCTGTCTAATATTTGCAAATTTAGTTTGTAGTTATTTACCGTTTGACCAGACGGGCAAGACATGTAAAATTAGCGTGGCATTCAACGTGTTGAAGTAACATTAAAATGGGCATTTGTGCATTATTTACAGGATTTTGAATACCGGAATTCTTTTAAAAATGGTCTCTTATTGAAATATGCGAGTCATATTCTCCGAAAATGCTCATATGTGTCTAACAATAATTTTAAAATATTTTTTTAGAATAATTTTAATTATTACGGAACAAGCAACTTCAAGTGTATATATCGAAGTAACATTACAATGGACACTTAGTGAAATTTTTAAAGTTTTTGAACTGGAATTTTTAAAAAATAGTTTCATATTAAAAAAAAGAGCGTTATATTCTTCTAAAATACCCATATATGTCTAAAAATAAGATTATTTTAAAAATTGCTTTATTTTGTCCGAAACAAGCAATTTATATGATATTTAAGAAAATGTTACGGAAATGGACAATTTCTGAAAATTTAAATTTTTTTGTATAGCGGGATTCTTTTAAAACTGGTTTTATACTAAAATATATGCTTCATATTCTGTATAAATTTCCATATATGTTTAAAAATACTTAAGGAATATTGTTGAAATAGTTTTATTTAGTTCGTAGTACGCAATTCTGTGTATGTATCGAAGAAACATTACAATGGACATGAATTTTTTAAATATTTTGGAATGTCAGGATATTTTAAAAACTGGTTTCATATTATGTATGTGTTTCCTTATCTCCGAAAATATCTATATATTCCTAAAAATCGTTAAATGACATTTATTTAGTCCGAAACCCGCAATTTCAAGGGTAAGTATCAAAGTAACACTGAAATGGACAATTTGTTAGTTTTTCTAATTTTTTTGAATAGCGGAATTTTGTAAAAATGGTTTCATATTCTCTGAAAATACCGATATATGTTTAAAAAAACTTGAAAAACATTATTAAAATAATTTTATTTAGTGCGAAAGACGCAATGCCAAATGCATATATCAAAGCAACATAATGGATAGTTTGCTAAATTTTTTAATTTATTTCTTTTAAAACTAATTTCATATTCAGGGATATTTTTCGAAAATACCCATGTGTGCCTAGAAATACTTTAAGAATATTTTTTTAAAAAGCTCCATTTAGTATGAAACACATAATTTTCAGCCTATATATCGAAGTAACATTACAATGGATAATTTCAGAATTTTTAAAATATTTTTGACTCGAAGGATTTTTTTAAAACCAGTTTCATATTAAAATATATGCGTCAGATTCTCTAAAAATACTCATATATGTTAAAAATCTTTACAGAATATATTTAAAATAGTTTTATTTAGTCCGAAACACGCTATTTCGAGTAGTGTATATAATATCAAATTAACGCTGAAATGAATAATTTGTTAATTTTTTAAATCTCGAGTTTCATTATAAACTGATTTTTAAAATACGTGCGTCATTTTCTCCGAAAATGTCTAAAAACACTTGGAAAAATATTTTTAAAATTGTTTTATTTAAAACTAAAGACGCAATTTCAAGGGCATATATCAAAACAACAATAAAATGGACAGTTTATGAATTTTTTAGATTTTTTTTTAATGCGATATTCTTATAAAACAAGTTTCATATTAAAATATGTGCGTCATATTCTCTGAAAATACCGATGTATGTCTAAAAATACTTAAGGAATATTGTTAATTTTCTTTTCCTGAACTTTATTCGTTTCGTTTCGCACTGAACTTTATTCGTTTCGCCTTAGACGATGCCAGACTTGCTACTCATTTCGCGTTACCCAGTGGGCACCTGTGAACCAAAGTCACGGAGGCGAGTAATATTGTTAAAATAGTTTTATTTAGTCCGGAACACGCAATTATTAGTGTATATATCGAAGTAACATTTTAATGGACGTGGATTCTTTAAAAATTTTTGAATGTCAGGAGTTTTTAAAAACTGGTTTTATCATACTCGCAATTCAAAAAAATTAGCAAATTGTCCATTTCAGGGGTATTTTGATGTATACCCGACTGGAAGTAACGTGTTTCGGACAAACTAAAATGATTTTAAATATATTCTTTAAAGATTTTTAAACAAATATAAGATGAAAATATCGATGTATAAGATGAAAATTGCGTGTTTCAGACTAAATAAAACTATTTTAAAAATATTCTTGAAATATTTTTAGACACATATTGATATTTTCAGAGAATATGACAAAAAATTTTAATATGAAATTGGTTTCAAAAAAATATCGCAAATCAAAAAAATTTTGAATATTAACAAATTGTCCATTTTAGGGTTATTTTGGTACCATTGTACTTGAAATCGCAGGATTCAGACTAAATAAAACTGTCTTAAAAATATTCTTTAAAGATTTTTTAGACATGTATGGGTATTTTCAGAGAAGATGACACACATATTTTAATATGAAACAGGTTTTTTTAAAAAAACTGTCAATTCAAAAAAATATTAAAAAATTTGCTAAGTGTCCATCTTAATGTTATTTCCATGTATGTACGCTGGAAATTGCGTGTTTCTAACAAAATTATTTTAGCCATAAATGTGTATTTTCATAGAATATTACATAAATATTTTAATATGGTGAGGTTTAACAAGAAACTCGCAATTCAAAATAAATAAATAAATGAATAAATAATTTCAAAAATAACAAAGTATCCACTTCAGTGCTTCGGACTGAATATAACTATTTTACAAACATTCTTATATCAATTTTAGATGCAGAATTTTCCAAGAATATGCTGCTCATATTTTAATAAAAAAATCAGTTTAAAATATTTTACAAGTATTTTTAGACATATATGGATATTTTTGGAGAATATGACGCGCATATTTTAATATGAAACCAGTTTTTTTTAAAAATTCCGCTATTCAAATAAATTAAAAAAATTCCTAAATTGTCCATTTCAGTGTTACTTTGATATATACTTTTGAAATTGCTGTTTTCGGACTAAATAAAACTATTTTAAAAATATTTTTACAGATTTTTAGACACATAAGGATATTTTCAAATAATATGACACACATATTTTAATATGAGACCAGTTTCACAAGAATCACACTATTGAAAAGAATTTAAAAAAAATCGCTAACTATCCACTATAATGTTAATTTGAAAAATAGACTTAAAATTGCGTCTTTCATATTAATTAAAAATATTTTAAAAATAATTTTTATGTATTTTTAGACACATATTGGTATATTCGGAGAATATGACGCTCACGTTTTATGTGAATCAAGTTATAAAAGTGTCCCGCTGTTCAAAAAAAATTCATAAATTAATAATTCGTACTCTGTAAATTGCATCTTTCGTTATAAATTAAATTATTTAAAAAATATTCCTTAAAGCTTTTTAGACATATATGGGTATTTTCAAAGAATATGACACACATATTTTAATATGAAACTGTTTTTAAAAAAAATTTCTCAATTAAAAAAACAAAATTGAAGAGTGTCCATTATAATGCCCAATATAAGTTG